CTGTCTGAAAAACTATATAAATGAACATGGAAAGATGAATTTTGGATGAATGATGCAGAAATGATGGAAGACTGAATAAACAAGAGGGTGGATTGATGATGGATGGGTGATGACTGGATGGATGGAAGACGGATGACTGAATGGATGGAAGGTGGATGGAAGATGGATGCCTGAATGATTTGGAGGGTGGATGCAAGATGTGTGGGTGAATGAATGGAAGGACGGTGGATGATTGATGGAGGGATAAATGAACAGACAATGCATGGACAAAGGATGGATGCCTATATAACATGATTAATCTGTTAATTTGCCAGATAAAGCAATGAGATAAAAGGCAGAATTGGGACATTAAAAGCCAAAGAACAGAAAGAGAGCTTGAAATATCCTCTACTGCCAATAGCTGCTAATGTGTCATAATAAAGACACAAATATCTGATGTGAGTGACAGATTTTGATGCAGAGCCTGATCTGCACAACTTTCTGATGTGAGAGCTTAGCTTCTGCTGCTCCTTCTCCAACCACCTCCAGCCACCATGTCTCCCTGCCATGATGGACTGTAATTCCCCTGGAAACGTAAGTTCAAATAAACTGTTCCTTCTATAAATTGCTTGGGTCAGTGTTTCTATCACAGCAACAGAAAAGTGACTAATACAGTAATTGTTACCAAGAGTGGGATAGTGACTAATACAGGGTTCTTAGCCCAAAGTAAAAGAAGCACATTCCCAAAATGACCAGATTTCTGTTATGTGTTGTGGCCTGGATGACCTCAGTAAGTATAGTTTTTCCAGTTCCATCCATCTTCTTGAAAATTTCATGGTCTCATGTTTTCCTAATAGCTGAATACTAGTGCACTGAGTGTATGTACCCCTTTCTCATTAACCATTCAGCACCTGATGGATTTATGTAATGGTTCCCTTTCCTTGCTCTCGTGGGCAGAGTTGCAATGAACATGGATTATAAGCATCTCTGAAATAAGACATACACTCTTTTTGGCATATGCACAGTAATGGTGTGGTTGGGTCATATGGTAATTTTAGATGTAGCTTTTTGAGAAACCTCCTGACTGCTTTCCAAAGAGCTAGCACTAATTTTGACTCTGCCAACAGTGCCTAAGCTAAGTGTCCCCATTTTACCACAAACATGCCACTTTTTTTCTGGTGGTAGCCTTTCTGACTGTGGTGAGATGGAAACTTTACATAGTTTTAATTTCCATTTTCCCAATTTCTAAGTATGTTGAACACACTTTTACATGTTTCTTGCCATTAATAATTCTCCTTTGCAAATTTTTTTCTCTCCAGTTATGTTGCTCATTTTTAATTGGGTTTTTTGCTTTCTTAATCTTTAGTCTCTTTAGTCCTCTATATTATCTAGACACTAATCCTTTGTCGTATTTATAGGTGGCAAAGATTTTCTTCCATTCTGTTGGCTGCCTCCTCAGCCAACTGACAGATTCCTTTCTTGTTCAGAAGCTTTTTGTCTTCATAAGATACTATTTGCTAATTGCTGGTCTTATTTCCTGTGCTATGAAATTCCTAGACAGAAAGCTTGCACCTTTGTCTGTAAACTGAAGTGAACTTCCCACCTTTACATCTAGCAATTTTTGGGTAGCCTGTCTTATACTGACTTCTGGGCCAGGTGCAAGGTAAAGAACAAACTTCATTTTTCTGCATATTGAATTTTTTGTTTCCCAATACCATTCCTTGAAGATGTTGTTTTTTAGATGGTATATATTTTTGGCATCTTTGTCAAAGACCATGTAGCTGTAGTTGTGTGATTGTTTGTATCTATATCTGGATCCTCAATTTTATTCCATTGATCTATGTGTATATTTCTGTGACAGTACCATGTGCTTTTTTTTAACTAGAGCTCTGTAGTATAGCTTGACATCAGGAGTAGTGATATATACCTCAATACCATCAGAACTGTGGAGACAGGGTGAGGCAGACCCCCGGAGCTCACTTATCAGCCAGCCTAGACAACTTGGCAAGATACAGACCAGTGAGACACCATTGGAAAAAAATAATCTGTGAGAATTTGTTTTGCTGGGTCAGTCACATATATCAAAATGAGAAAATACTCTCACAATATTTAGTCCTTCTCACTGGATACAGTGATATACACTAAAGAGAAACACAGACGATTACTGGGAATTGCAAAGACCCTCACTGGTGGCAGGTGCCCACCCAGATAATTTTGTGACTTTAAAACTAAGCCTCAGGCGTGTAAGACAACTGTTCTACAACTCACTTCCTCTTCCTTGTTGGGGACCCCTGCTGTGTAAGGTAGCAGTCTCTCCATGTCCGGATAGCCCATGGGGCTTGGCGTTCATATGCAGAGATTCATTTTATCAGCAGGGTGCCTCCTGCCTCTCTTCCTGACTCCTCTTTGAAGTAGCCATCACAGAAACATGGCCTCTGGCTCTGCAACTGCCAGGTTTTCCTGTGTGATTTTTCAGGCACTGTCTGAAAGCCTGGCAGGAGCGCACCACCACATGTAAATAGGGCATCCTAAAAGCACCTACCAATTAAGGCTTTTACCACTGCCCCCACAGTATAAGTATCCTGGCTTTCCCCTTAACAAATCGGAGTTGCATCGGAGTTGCATCAGAGCTGTGTCTGAAGCTGTATCATTAAATCCTGCATCTTCCCAGAGAGGGCTGTCTCTTCGTAAACCATGACTCACGGAGAATCTGCTTTCGCCGTCCGCACCTCCCCTCATGACCCGGCAGCTGACGGATCTCGAACCCAGAGGGAGTGCATGGTAGATTGGGATGGAACCCGCCCGGGGCGGCTGACAGCGGTCCTCTAGAGCCGCCAGCCCTGGTAGCAGAGAGCCTCAGCAACGCGGAGAAACAGGGACCCGCCACACCCCAGTGCCATGCAGGAGACTGGCGCCATGCCCAGCAGCTGGCGCTCCGAGATCCCTGCACCCCATACTTCCTCAGTTACCCACAAATATGAATGTGCAAAGAAGAAAATTCAAATGCAAATCAAATACATGTCTGCATTGTAAGGGTAAAAATCCTCATAATTTCCCAAATGATGAGGGGCTGTGTAAGTTTGTTTTGATATATAAAGGATGAGACAAAAATTATATACACATAATAAAATTTCTAAGGTCATATGTTAGTCAACCAGTTTAAGGAACAAATTATATGTCTAGTAAAGACATATATCTGAGAATGTTTGGTTTTTGACCAAGCTTCATCCAGATAATACATGGTAATTAAAAGTACCAGAGTGATGGAACTAATCTTCTTGGATATTTAACAGCCATACATTGAGGCCTATACTAATCTGGTCAAAGAGGTATAAAGGACAGTTTTTGCTCCTTGACCCCAAGGTCGACTAAGTTCCAGGGGACTATGAGAATCTCTCAAAATCTCCTGTAACTCTGGTGAGAAACCTGTCCCCCTGTTCAAGGAGGCCATGTAGACCCCACCAAATGGACTTGAACTAGTTTCCAGTCTATAAAGAGGAGGTTCAACTAAGAGGAAACATTACCTCCATGCTTCCAAGTGAGCACAGCCACAGCCGAGTAGGACCTTTGACTTATCTTTACATAGATGGAATGGTAAAAGAAAGGAGGCAGGGGCTCCTCCCAAGTCCATGTGACCCCTGAGAAACAGATCTTCAAACGACCTTTTGAGTAAAAATAAATTAACTTATTTGGGACAACCGTATCGTCTTAAACACCCTATATGAAAGTATAAACAAAGATTAAAGTGATCAGTATATTTCTTTAAGAGTTCAAGAGTGAAAAAAAGGAAAAAAAGAGTTCAAGAGAATACACTTCCCAGACATTAGACTTAAGTCCATATAAAATGTTATTTAGACAATTATTTCATATTCATGATTTTGTTTCTAAGAAGAAAGTGCTGCTCAGATGTAAGACTTCAAATTTTGGTCTGCAATACTGTAGTTCCCACCTTTAGCTAAGAGAGACAACCAGCTATTGTTCTAAAATGATAGATAAATTTGTTTTCTCCCCCTATCTAGAAGCCTTTGAGAGGGAACTGACACTGATTCTAACCACTCCAACAGCTATCAAAGTTACTGAAAACAAATCCTAACACCATCACTCTTGAGTCCAGCCTACAGACAAAAGTGAAAATGAGGAGGAACTCAATAGAGGGATGCTTCTGGAAGCTCTTGTTAAGAAATCCCAGTAGACTCTGATATGAGCATTTGAAATTTTCCCTGTTCTGACTTTTTTTCTGGTTCCCTGTCTAGAACTTGTATCAACTTCTATAACTCTTGCCTTTACTTCTCCTTCACATCCCCTATTCACCAATCAAGGACTTTCTTTTCCCCCTACAGATAAGAGTTATGCAATTTGGGAGTCTTTTAGATAGACCCACTGAAGGGGTACTCCAATTGCCTTACACTGCATCCTTGTTCATAATGGAAGAAACCAGATTGGTCTGCATCCAAATTCCATATGCGCAAGTTGGATAACCTCTTCAGAGGATGATGTGATAAGAATAGGAGGTAGGAATTGGCTAGACAGTTAAGGTAAAAAGACCCCAAAGAAAAATTCCCAGTTTCTTGGCTAAAAGTCACAATGTCCTTTGGCCTCTTAGGAACATACTCTATCCCCAAGACCAAAAATGTCAAAAGTATTTGGGCATTCATATTTAATCCCTAAAAGGTTTTAGGGTTACCTCTTGAGAAGGGAGAATGTTAATATAGCAAAAAGCGCCATTAAGAAAGGAAGGAAGGAAGGAAGGAAGGAAGGAAGGAAGGAAGGAAGGGAAAGAAAAGCTCCAAGACAAGCTTAGGAAATGAGAGATGAGTAAGGAAAGAAGGAAAAAAGGAAAGAAGGAAAGAAGGAAAAAAGGAAAGAAGGACAGGAAATGGTCAGAAAAATTGATGGGGAGTTATGGGAGGTGTTGGAGGGGAGGGAGTAGGAGTGGATTTCACCAAAACATGAATGATCAAATCATATATGAAATTCTCAATAAAGTTTTTTTAAAAAGTTACAAACAACCAACATGATTAGTACTTGGTTCGGCAGCACATATACTAAAATTGGAACAATACAAAGAAGATTTGCATGGTTCCTGGGCAAGGATGACATGTGAAGTCTTGAAACATTCCATGTTTTTAGACAGTGTTCCCCATGTACTCTAGAGCCAGGATGAGCTGACTCCTTTGACTGATAAAATCCTTATCAGGTACATTAATGGCAGGGATCATATAGCCTCAGTCACAGTCACACACAGCATAAACAGACATAATCACTCATGAGAACATGTAGGCATTCAGGACAGATAGGGTGGGGAACACGCCATCGGACATACACACACTCACACTAATGGATGGGCATGCAGACTTAAATGTTTTCCTATGTAGAAACATGCACATATGTGCACACATACACATTTCCCTCCTACATAGTTATGATCTACCCCCTCTCTTACAAGTGGACAGAAGTTTACGGGCTCACAAAATCTGAGGGAAATGGGTTAGGGAGCTATGAAATAGATTGATACTTCTTCCCAGAATCCAATGGGTAATCAGTAAAGGATGTGATGCTTTGGTGTCATTTAGTGGGAAATTTTCCTGGAGCCAAAAGTGTCAGAGTTGGAGCTTTAAACTTGGGCATTGTTAGTTTTCTAATTCTGTAACAAAACGTTGACCAAAACCAGCTTTGAAGGAAGAAGGTTTATTTGGCTTACAGCACAGAGTCCATCATCAAGGGATGCCAAGGCAGGAATTATGGGCAGGAACCTGGAGCACAGACTGTGGAGGTACTCTGCTTACTGGCTTGCTCCCCTTGCCCGTGCTCAGCCTGCTTTCTTATTTAACACAAAACAACCTTCCCAGGGGTGGCATTGTCCACAGTGGGCTGGGCCCTGCCATATCACTCAATAATAGAGAAAATTCCCCACAAACAGGGCCAGAGGCCAAACCAATGGAGGAATTTCTCAATTGAGGCTATCTCCAACTAGGTGTGTCAAGCTCACAGCTGAAGCTCTCCAGCGCAATTCACCCATTGTCAACTTTCGCCCACCACCTTTCCATTTCTTATCCCCAAGACCTCATGTTAATATTAATATTAAAATATAAAACAGTACAACTTTAAAAGTCCCACAGTCAAAAATTAAAACACTTTTAAACAGAACGTCTCTTTTTAAAAATATCCAGTCTCTCAACTGTGGACTCCTGTAAAATCCAAAATAAGTTACATACTGACTTACTTCAGAAGGGAAGAACTGAGGTACACTTTAAGTGAAACCAAGGTCCAGTGATGTAGCTGAATGATGAAAATCTGGGATTTAATCACAATCTTCTGGGCTCTGCAGACCTTGGTGAGCTCCACTTCTCTAGCTCTGCCATCCATGACACACTCACAGGTTCAGGCTGGCTTGGCTCCACACCTGACTCCCCATGGTGTTGATACCATGGTCCTGGTATCTCGAATATCCTGGGGTTTCCATTGCAACTGAGCCTACATCTTCATGAATGGCCTCTCTGGGTACAAAGATTTTCTCCATTACCCTTCACATCTCCAACACCAGTACAACATGAGAGACTCTTACACACTGCCAAGTTCTGAAACCAGAATGATATGCAGTCTTGGACCACTCTGGACCACAGTGTCTGGGTGCTGACCATTAGAGAATAATTCCAGATGATTTCTCTCAATCACATGGCTTTTCTGTTACTCATAGCTGATTCTTCAGCCTTGGCTGACCAGCATGGATTATCCTAGTAAAGTACAAACTTCTCACTTCCAAAAAGCATAAGTCAAAATATATCACATGCAGCCCTGATAGAGCCTCCATTGTCTACACCTCTGATAGCATTATCTTCCAATTTCCTACAGAATATCTCACAGATTTCCAAGCATTTTTCCAGTCCAAAGCTCAAAAACCATCCACAATCTTCAGACACATAGTGATCAAGTATATCAGAGCAATATCCAATTCTTGATACCAATATCTGTCCTTGTTAACTTTCTAATGCTGTGTTGAAACACTGACCAAAACCAGCCTGTGGAGGAAAGGATTAACCTGCCTTGAGGTTCACTGTCTATCATCAAGGGAAGCCAAGTCAGGGACTCAGGGAAGGAACCTTGAGCACAGATCACAGAGGTACTCTGTTTACTGGTGGGCTCCCTTGGCCTGCGCTCAGCCTACTTCTTTATACAACACAGGACCACCATCCCTGGGGTGGCACTACTCCCAGTGGCCTGGGTCCTCCAATATCACTCAATAATCAAGAGAAAATGTCCCAGAGACATGACCACAGGCCAATCAATCTGAGAAAACTCAATTTAGTTTCCTTCTAACTAGGTAGGTAAACTTACCAACTGAAGCTATCCAGCACAAGTATGAAGGGGGGATAGGATGTTGAACTGCTAGGAAAGTTATGGGGGCTATGGGGATATTGGCTGCCATAGGCCGTGTGAGTCTCTGCCCCAATTATGTTTGGGGCCATCTGTCCTCATGTGGTGATCGTGATTTGGGAGCCCACCTTGAAGGTGGTGACAGGTGAGAAGACAAGTGCTGTATTGGCCAGGGCTCACCTGTCTAATTCGTTTCTGGGTCTTAATTCCTGTTGAGTGCCCTCTGATCCTTCAGAGGAAAGATACAAGCAGGCAGACTCTTATGAATTACAGGCCAGCCTCAATCACAAAGTGAGTGCCAGGCCACCAAGGGCTATACAATGAGACTCTGTCTCAAAAATCAAACAACAATCAAACAAAAACTATGAAAGACAGACTCTGAGGAGTCTAGAACCCATACACCAAAGCACCCAGGAAAGGACAGCCTGTCTCTTCTGAAGGACAGTTCCGTTTCCTGTGGGTTTGCGGAAATGAAGCTCTCATGAGATGATGGGGATTCAAGCCTCTAAAGGCCATAACCTGTGAGTCTGCCCATCCAACAGGGCACTGTCATCAAAACTCTGCAGGCTGTAGCCACAAGGAGTAAAGGCCATGACCTCCACCTTCATAGCCCTTCTCTGTCTTGGTGAGACATGAAGCGGGTGAAGGAACCACCCTAGGCTGGGAGTGACCTGCACAACAGCTGAAAGTTTTACGACCAACTCATCTCAGGGATTCAGAGGCAATGAGGAGGGGAAGAACTGCTCAGGCTTCAGGGAAAATCTCTCACAGAGAACTATCTTCCAGGACTGAGTCTCAGCCTCAAGATCCCAGTGCTGGCAGGTGAGTGTGTCACAGCTGTCACAGGTAAGTCCTCCTCACTGAGGACAAGGGTCACGTGGGGGCAGTGTAGACAGAGAGCAGCAGGTGTGGCTGATACTGTGGAAACCGAAGAAGGTCCCAGGGCTGAGGGCTGGGATCTAAGGTAGGATGTCCTCTGACCCAGCCTCTGATTTCCCTGCATAAAGGAACCAGTCCATAATCAGGACTAAGACAGGCTAGGTTGTCTTCAAAGGGAACCAGGTGACCATCTCATGTAAGGGGACTGCAGGAGATTTAGAATATTATCTCAATAAAGGTAGAAAAAAAAAGATTCCTGGTGGCAACAGACCCCAATGTACCCTGAGAACAGGGCTCATTGGTTCATTGAATCCATTGAAATGAACCATGCAGGCCGATATGACTGTTCCTACTTCACCTATGCTGGCTAGTGAGAGCACAGTGACTCACTGGAGCTGGTGGTGACAGGTGAGAAGACACTTAGGGGTCCAACCTTCGGCTTTACTCTCATGAAAGGGGTCTTCTCTGAGAGATGTCCTACCTCACAGCTTAGCCAGGAAGACAGTGTGGGCTGTGATAGTCCATTTACCATCCTGCCTCTTCTCCTAGGATTATATACAAGCAAACTCAGCCTCAAAGCCTGGCACAATGCCGCAGTCGTTAAAGGAGGGATTATCTTCCTCAATTGTGTCTCAGGGAAGCAATAAGAAAGCCAGTCTCAATAAGGAGGGACCACAGGCGATCTCCTGGACCCTGAACTCACCATATACACTTTACTGGGCAGTCCCAGACCCTGTTTTCTGCAGGCTCTGTGACACAGAGCCAGAGATGGACAATCAGATGCTGTTTCTCACCTCAGGAACCCAAGATCTGGAGAGACCCCAGTGATCCCCCTGGAGCTCATGGACTCAGTTCAGGCAGCCCTGACCTTTCCCAAGAATGACCTGGCTTTGGTTCCCAGGGGCGGCCCTCTTGTGTGAAGTGTGAGGGGAGACAGGGCTCTTGATACCACTGACACTGAGGATGGAACCCGGTGGCCCCAAGACACAAAATCCAAGGTGGAACATGAGAGTAAAACCCAGGAGTCCAAGAGCAGGATCGATCTCTCATGGCTTCCCTGGTCCTCCTGCAATTCAGGATTCAGCTTAGCTGTCACCTCTATGTGTGAGCTTCACTGTGTCACCATTCAAACAGAACCCTCCTCCTCACCTAATCCCTTCCAGAGACCCTCCAAAAACCCACCATCTGGGCTGAACCATTCTCTGTGGTCACCTCAATGTGACCATCTGGTGTCAGGGGGCCATGGAGGCACAAATACATGATCTGCATAAAGAGGGAATCCCAGCACTGTGGAACCCACAGACCCCAGTGGAGCCTAGGAATTAGGCCATTTTCCATTCCATTGCCAGAGGAATATGGAGGGTGATATTGTTATTACTATTATAGCCCTGCAGGCTATACTGTGTAGTGGCACATTGCAGTTGGTGATCATACATGAGGTCCCCATACCCAGGCTCTGCCCTCAGGAAAAATGGTCTGATCTTACACTGCCTCTTCTCACCATCCAGCCCTCAGAGATAATGGGGGAGATGTGAGTTCATTAGCATCCTGCCTTCTTCTGTCCTAGGAATCTACAACAATGAACCACAGCTGTTGACTCTTCCCACTCCTATGGTGACCTCAGTACAGAACCTGACCCTCCATTGTGTGTCACAAGAAGAATCTGACAGGCTTGTTCTGACCAGACGAGAACAGAAACTCTCCATGTCCTTAGATTCACAGCATTCACCCCTTTGGAAATCCAGGCTCTGTTCACCTTGGGCCCTCTAATCCCCAGCAGCAAGAGAACCTTCAGATGTTATGGCTATAACAAGACATACCCGCAGAAGTGGTCAGAACCCAGTAACTCTCTGGAAGTACAAATTTCAGGTAGGA